GAACTCCGGGGAGAGGTTAATGGATTACAAAGGGATGCGGTATCGAACCTTGGAGAAGTTTATACACCACATCAATATGTGCAAGGCTATTGATCATTTAGACCTTGACAGACAAATTAAATTCATAAACTTGATAATGCACTGGAATATTTGTATTGCTTACTACAGTGGAATAGGGCCTTTTCTACATGTTTTTTAAACAGTGCTGCTTTAACATCAAGACTTATCGACTGAATTACCTTAATAGAGTCCACTGAAAACTGCAAGAAGAATGCTGAGCTAATGATAAAGTAGTTTGTTAATATTATGCAAACTTTATCCACTTTTGTAGGTCTGTGCACACAGTTATGCACAGTTAGTAATATAAGCTTTGTGTAAAGTACAATTCATAATTAAAATATTACAAATATTTTAAGCAATTACTGTTCAGACACAGAAACCCCCCCCCCCCCCCCGTCAGCGGCGCGTGCGCAGAGCGTGAGCAGCGCATGTGTTTTCGGCGTCCATGTTAACAGATTAGAGCTTTCATACCGCACGCAGCAGCGCGTCAGAGCGAGGCTTCAGCGTCGCCGAAGCAGCAGTGCAGCGATAGTTTCGGCGCTGGGTCTATTTTTGACGCGCTGCTCACGCTCAATTAAAGTAACAGTGCATTGATAATGACCAAAACACATTGAATGACAGTAAAAAGTAGCAATTTTACCCAGTAAATGGGTTAATAATGTCAAATGGGTTTTATATATAGTCAATCAAATGAACTTAAACGATTAAAAACGGCACAAACATTTATTTAGGTCCAAACTACAAAACCAAATGTAAAACAGTTTTAGTATCAGTTTTGCTTAAGTTGCACACTAGTGTTTAAGGAGAGGGGGAATAGAATATTTACGGGATTTGTACTCCATAGCGAAGTGTATTGTGGGTAGTGTAGTTCGACACGCATGCTGGATGATGTTAACTCGCTGTGTTCTGTGCAGCTGAGCACAGGAAGAAAGTTTTAATCGGCTTTGGGTAACACTTTATAATAACTACACATTATAAATCATTTATAAAGCATTAGCAAATAGTGAATTCATTATCTGTTAAGCATTAACTCTACATTAATAAACGTTAGTAAGCAGTTTATAACTGCAGCTACAAATGCTCTATTCTTGACTTATAACCACATTTAAAATGTGCTTAATAATTGTATTTTCATAATGATTTATTTTTCATTACTAAATTAAGTATCACATTATTTACAAACCAGTTGTATTTAAGAGTAGTTGAGGGTCAAATCAAAGTTTATATGTCTTATTATTCAGGCATATATTAATGGTTACTATGTGTGTTAATAAATGCTTTATTAAGTCAACTTCACCTAGTTTTGTGACCTAATTTAAAGTGACGACTATTCATGCTTTATTAATCCTTTATAAATGACAAATAAAGGCTCAGTTAAATTCTAAACAGGAAAAATGACATACTCAGAGGGTATTTTGTTTTCGTCATTCGCCCCTGCTGTTCTCGTGTAAATTCACCAGAGGCCGCTGTCAACTGATGGACTGACTGACTGACCGATCAACTGACCCACCCTCCTCCTTCCTTAAACTCAACCAATAGTGTTTCTAAAAGCACCAATCGACCCCGCCCACCCACTTCCCGAAACAGTGTTTTCAAAAGCAATCCAGTAAAAAAATCACTTGCCTGATTTTTAGCACATTTTCAGATTTTACCACATTCTCCTGTTATTAACTTGTTTATTTTATTTTTTGGCTTGTGTTTTTTTCCTACCTGCTTTCTGGAACTGTTCTTCACCAAACGTTGATTTCAATAGTTTATTAATCATTTACTAACTCATTCTGAATGATCCTAAAAACCCTCAACTACTCTTAAATACGACTGGTTTGTAAATAATGCAATACTTGATTTAATTATGAAAAATAAATCATTTACTAAGTATGAAAATACAATTATTAAGCACATTTTAAATGTGGTTATAAGTCAAGAATAGAGCATTTGTAGCTGCAGTTATAAACTGCTTACTAACGTTTATTAATGTAGAGTTAATGCTTAAGGGATAATGAATTCACTATTTGCTAATGCTTAATAAATGATTTATAGTGTGTAGTTATTATAAAGTGTTACCCGGCTTTGTTTTATGTTCACTCGAGTTATTCCTACCGGGGGCTGTTTGCACTGTGAATCTGACAACACGAAAATAAGTAAAAGAAGGGCATGCATTGGTTACTTTTGTCCGTCTCATCCTCTGCACAAGCATGAATTAACGAGCTGTTATTCTGCCGCTGGACATCACTGAAGCGGAGAAGGTAACACTAGTTTGATCTGTGTAAATATCATTATAACTATATTGTATAAACATTATTATATATAGACTTACAGCAACCTGACAATCAAAAAACCAATGACATGATATCACAGGCGATTGTCTTCTGACTGTAGAACTTCTCATATTGCTTAAGAAGCATACAGTACTATTTGATCTATAAAATTTGTAAAATAAACATTTGCAGGTTAAAGAAACAGCATAGGAGGTGCCTTGGTGCAGATGAAAAGTTTAAAAAGTGTATTTGTATATAGGGAGACATGGGTAACTAGATAGAATAGACAGAGATAGGTTGATCTCTGCAGCAGCTGCCGAAGAGCAGCGTGCTGCAGACGCAGCTGGTGTGAAAGGCAAACGCCTGCGTGCTGCTACTGCTCGACATACAGTACGCGCTGCTCACGCTCTGATTACGCGCTGCTGACGCTTGCGGTGTGAAACAGGCATTAAACCAGGTTTATTTTGTACATTTTCATAACAGTTATCCACATAGAAGTGTGACCAAATCTACGATCCTGTGTCGCGATTTCGATTTCATATCGTGTATTGTTACAGCCCTAGTAAGTGATAGAGACAGACATGGATGTAGCTAAAATACAGCTCAATTAGCCAGAAATACCAGGTAGGTGTATTTGATGTATTTGTGGTGGAGTTTATTCAAGCCTTTCTGAAATGATGAGTCTCACACAAATGTCATTTACAGTACACACACACACAGACTAGCGTTTACTGACACCATGTGGCCATGGTGATTATAGCGGTTAAGAATTACATAGCGATTTTACTCTCCTACAAACATGCTCTGTTTTAAAAACATTTTAAACATATAAAAATCACAGAGAGATGGAACAGGTATTTTAATTTCTTTGCAAAAAAAAAAAGTTTTGTGGACGTGTATACATGTTACTATAGAAACATGGTGCCTGTCAATCAATTAAGTGAGCGGGGAAAAACACACTCCTAACTTCACGTTGTGGAAGGCCTCAAAATCACTGGGATTTGGGTTGTATTTTAACATCAGGACATTTTAAACGAGACTTTTTGTGTTTATATCACTTCAACATGGCAGTGTAACGTAATGTAATGTAATGTGTATTTAAATAGTGCATTTATCGTGTATGGCCATACACCTAAGGCTTTTCACAATCATGAGGGGGTTCTCCACACCACCACCATTGTGTAGCATCCACTTGAATGATGTGACAGCAACCACAGGACAATGGCGCCAGCGCGGTCACCACACACCTCGCTTTATAGGGAGTGGAGAGACAGTGATAGAGCCAATTCGGTGGATGGGGATGATTGCAAGGCCATGATGGTTAAGGGCCGATAGAGAGAATTAGGCCAGGACACTGGGGTTACACCCCTACTCATTATGAGAAGTGCCATGGGATTTTTAGGGTGCTTTCACACCTGCCTTATTTAGTTTGATTGAATCGCACTAGAGTTCGTTTCCCTTTTTGGCATGGTTCGTTTGGGCAGGTGAGAATGCAGCAATCGTACTCGAGTGCGCACCAAAAGCGGACCGAATAAGCGTACCGAGACCTGCTTGAAGAGGTGGTCTCGGTACGCTTTTAAATGAACCCTGGAGCGGTTCGTTTGTGGTGAGAATATGATTCATACTAAAACAGGTCCAACCGCAAAAAGTACTGCGCGTTTTGGACTAATTTAGCTGCCGTAGGCCGATGCACTGTGCATTATGGGATATGGAGGAAAATTATTTGTTGACAGCACTTTACCAACAGAGAGAGAGAGAGAGAGAGAGGGGAAAATATTACCTGATGGATCTTTGGTAATATTTACGCAAGATGACCATGTCGCAGTTTAGCTAAATTAATTCACGTCTCCTCCTGAAGTGGCGAGCGATGCATTAAACACTGTTTTCCAGCCGCGGCCGCGCTTCATTTTTGTAATGTATAGTTTGTCTAAAGCAGGGATACAATCAGCCAGCGCAGTCTCCCTCTAGAGTAAAAGGTTTTGTTTACCTGCGGGAGTTCACTGCCATTTTCCCGCATGTTAATTCTGACCAATCAATAAGCAGTTTAGGAAATATGTTCAACAACATCTGGCCAATGAGTTATGTGGATTTTGTCAGATGACTGCATTTTGGTTCGTTTCAACTGGTTCGGACCAAAGCCAGCAGTGTGGTGTGAAAACGACCCAAAGACGGCAGAAGATGTAGACGGCAACAATGTATAATTTATTACCTTTGGTCCGGACCAAATGAAGCGAACTACAGATGTGAAAGCACCCTCGAGTCAGGACCTCGGTTTAACATCTCATCCAAAAGACGACGCCCACCGACAGTATAGTTTCTCCTTCACTTTTACTGGGACATTAGGACTCACGCAGAGCACAGGTTGAGCCACCCTGCTGGCCTTACTAACACCACTTCCATCAGCAATCTAGTTTACCCATGTGGTTTCTTATCCAGGTACTTACCAGGATCAGCCAAGCTTAGCTTCAGTGAGTAACCGGTTTTGGGCTACAGGGTGATATGGCTGTGACAATGGACACACTATACATACAGTATACAGTCCTGTTCAAACAGCTTACAAAAGTTGATTTTCATCATAGGTGCCCTTTAATGTATATTGAAATTACATATAAAGAAAATCTGATTCAACTTGAGGCAAAATAAAGAACCAGAGCATTCAAAGGAAAAATCAAGAGATTTGTGTTAAATCAGATATTTATTACAATTATGTACATTCATCTTTTCACACCATCTCTGTGACACATATATATCAACAGGGTGTCAACAACAACTTCAACATCCAGCAACACTGTGCAGTTTGTACTGTTCCAGGCTTCTGACGAAAACTTACTTATAAAACCAATCCGACACACTCTCAGCTCACATACAGTAAATGAGAACCAGTGAATAAATCCCTAATCTGATTTGCTGAACTGAGCAAAATGATGTCGATTCCAACCAAAACTGCCATAAAAACACAGCAGGAGAGGAGAATGTAATCTTTAAGGAGATACAGGCACTGAATCTGTGGCTTATGTCATGATTAATTCAGTAGCCCTCACAGCGAATTCACGATTAGCTCAAATTAGCAAACTATTCTATTTGAAGGCCTCTGTCACCACGCTACCAGAAACAACCTGCTAGTTGCAGGAGCTCCTGTATGTGGTTAAGCAAAACTGACATAAACACACACACACACGCTCACTAAAGCGGTCTCACGCTGATGCTCTTCCTTTCCCTTAAATAGCTAAAAATCGGTAACTCTGATGACACTTCTGACAGCTATATGATGCGACGATAAAGTCAAAAAGGGGAAAAAAAGCATCACTCCCATATTTTTACAGAGTGTTTCTTCTTTGGAGAACAGATGGGGAAAAAAGTTGACAGCAAATTATGACAGCAAAAACCATAAACTGTAAGCTTTATGGCTCAGTTTGAATAAATCCTTTACAAAAAACTTTTCAAGTGTTCTTAAATTATTTAGTTTATAATTCGTTTAAAAATTATTGCGTTCAATTAATAAGAAATGCATAACTGTGTGATTTGTGTCATATGACAAGAGTGAATAATTGCCTTTTTTTCCTCCTCTTCGGATGAGCTACTCTAATATTCTCTTTGCATTTGGAGTTTAAGCCTTGGCTTCAGAAATAAAAGTTACTGCATAACAAAACACAGTTTCTATGACACTATAACATATTAATATATGTTATTCTCGTGTGGGGTAAGTGTTAAGCCAACCCTAGTCTAAGAAGAAACACACACACACACGGCCAGAAAAGTTGGGCTCTTTCGTTGTGCCACAAGAGCCACAATTCACCTGGCTGCGCTGTAATCCGGTTACTCTGAAGGTCATTTGTTAAAAGTGAAAATGTCACAATGGATCCGACGTTCTCGTTCTCACTCCAGGATCTCTCTGGCTTTGTTTCTCATCAGCTGGCGAGTGAGTAATTTCATTACTTAAATATTCATACGTTACTCTCCATTTGCATCACGGGGGAAATTTTTTTTTCATCCTTTAGGACTTTCTGAGAGAAAAGCCCCCAAAGAAAAAAGCAGAACTGTCAGCACCTCTGCTGAAGCATCCATTGTTTTACACAGTTTAATTACAAAACCCCAGCACCGTTTCATGTTAAGATTATTCACTGCAGGAGGCCTATATAATTTGGACTGGAGGGTTTGTCATGTAATATAATACAATATAACAGGCTTTCAGTATTAGATTTCCGATTTTAGCCTCCTTGACATTTCAAGCCGCATGAACTAATACATCTGTTATTTGTCGATCATTTGATTATTAACATACTTCATAAACCAAATCAGCTACCCTGCTGGAGACTCAGAGATACAAACGAGACAAACACATTTCTCTTTCGCATCATTGTCTGTTCTCATGCATGTTTTCCCTCCCCCTTTCTTTCTTTCTTTCTTTCTTTCTCATCTTAAATCCACCGGTCACAAGGCACAGCCCGACTGCTACAGCCCAGTGTACTACTATACATAATCTCAAACATCTGAAGGAGAGTTCACGCTATCATAATGAACATTCACATCCAACAGGTTAATAACTGTCCACTAGTCTTTACTGCTGAATGGCACAGAAACAATCTCAGATAACAACTTTCTGATTCTTTGGTGCCACAGATTTGTTGCTATAGTGCCTACATTGCAATTTATTAGGTTTAAATTGACTTGAAATGCTGGAGTACACTTAAAGGGTTGGTGCTCCCCAAATGATTTAAAAAAAAATCTGGTCGTCATTTACTGACCCTCAGGCCCAATGCGGAATCAAATCAGTGACAGACTTTTTTCTCTCTCTCTCTGACAGCTGTGACTGACAGCTGTTTCAGTCAAAATGTTGATGCTTCAAATATTTATAAGGAAAAATGTAAATCCAAATGAATTGAGCAGTTTAATTCAAGTCTTCTAAAAGACATGATTGCTAATCATGATAAACAGATTTGTGTTTTTATATACATAAAAACCATAATAAGTAAGCAATATTTGTAGCACTTATATTTAATTATGGAAGTTTAAACATGTTTGCCTGGTGTGCACAAAAAAGATAATTCTTGTCACGCCAGCTTCCTAAAAAAACCAATGAGGTCCTTTCTTGAATGCCACATGTACATTAGAGATTCTGCAAGAACCAATGAGGTACATTCATGGGTATCATGTGGCACACTTCCTTTCTTTGAGCTTTTCTCTTGTTTTTCTTTTTAAATCAAGATGCATTTTATAGACAAGTACTTCTAAGCTATTTTCCAAAAAAAAAAAAAAAAAGATTTTTACTTGCACCACTCACAGATTATTTTGCTTGTTTTAAGGAAAAACACATTTAATTTTGATTTATTATTTCTGAAAACCAATAAATAATAAATCTATAATAACGTAAATGATCATTTTCTTCACTTGTCCAGAAAATGTTTCTTCATTAAAGAAGTTTTAGGTATTTGGGCTAAAAACAAGACTCCAAAACTGCAAAAGTTCTGCGAGAAACAATGAAGTTCAACCTTGGATGTCAAGTGGCATGTTTGAGCTTCCACAAAGACCAATAATGTCCATTATTTTGTCACTCTAGCATGTTTGAAGTTTTTTAGGAATTAACTTTTTTCATGCCTAAGCTTCTGATTATGTTCACTGATCAATGTTAATATGCAAATAAAAGCCCAAATTAAAACTGTTTATCAAAGTTGTCATGTACCTTCAGAAGACTTGGATTGAACTGCTAGATTCAAGTAGATACAATCTCTTTATTATTGTTTTGACTTGTCAGAGTTTTAGATGTACAAACTTTAAATGAAATCTGAGAAATTGATATGCTTCCAATTAAATTCCACCAAAATACAGTTTTTTAAGACAAAAAAATAAACTTTATGGATTTAGAATTTCATGAGGATGAGTAAATGCCGTCAGAATTTTCACTTTTAGGTAAGCCAACACTTTACACAGACATTTTTAAACCACTACAGTCTTCAGTAAAATAGCTAGCATTAAAGGAAACCGTATGGACTCTGACTGATTGCAAAACACACACAAACAAACAAAAAAAAGTCATAATTCTCTCATGGTCTTTCCAAAAATGTCTGTTGCTGTGCTTGTTCAGGCATGCAGAAGGTTTGTGCCGTCACCCTGGTTTGCACGTTGAAAGTTTGCACGTGGAAAAGTCAAAAGGGTAAAGAACTGCAGTGAAAAGAACATAATCCACCTCACCTGCAGCTCTTGTACAGTGCTAAATGATGCTCACGGTAGCCGTTTTACAACAACGAGGGTGTGATTTCAAAACTTAAATGAACTCTAAGGAAACCTGGGAAAACCAAGAGGAGCAGATGGACGGATGAAGTCCGGGTGTGGGAATTTTTTAGCTCTAATCAACTTCGCTCTCATTACTCGCACCCTCTGGACGTCGTAGTTTCTCCACTTGCTCATTTATTTGTCCATCGCCTCCTCTCCTGTCCTCCGTCTGCACGTTCAAATGATCTTCCTCATCCACGTGGGTTACGTCATCATCATCCTCCTCATCTTCCTCTTCCTCATCATCCGCTTTCTTCTCCTCCTCTCCTTGGACTTCCATACGGACCTGGTCTTTCAGGTCTAGAGGGTGAAGGGAGCCCAGGCCCACATCTCCGTTCAGACAGTGTGAGCCGGACGGGGTGGCCTGAGAGCTGCTGCACTCTTTTATGGGAGAGGAATTAGCTGACTCGTTGCTAACAGGTGAAATGTCGCTGCTGCTGTTGGTGTGGTTGACGGAGGGCGGGTTGGACAGCGACCCCGGTTTGAGAGGTATCTGCCAGGATGGGATTTTTGGAACGGATGGTGAAGCAGGGAACTGTCTCCTAAGAAGAAACAGGACATGAATAGAACATTACAAGAACTGTTTTTGTTGAAATCTCTCACACTTTGCCTCAGGCTTCTGACTAAAATATGCACAAGCGAGTCCAGCTATTGTGCTTTGGAAACACGAACAGATTTGTCAGTATGGAAGAAGACGAGAGATTATGGCCATATGCACACCACACCTGGCATCTGATTGAAAACAAAGCATGTCTTCACAGCAAAGGTAAAATAAACTCAAAAGCAACTTCAGATATGTTCTGTCGACGTGGCTTTGTTTGAATATATGAAGCAACAAGTTGAGCAGATGGCGAGCTTGATTCGTATTTACAGCGAAGATATTACATCTTGAGAAGGACGCAGAAAGAAAAAACATTCAGACATTTGAAGAAAAAAGGTAATTATAGCTTAAAATGTTTAATGAGAGCAGACAACAGGCAAACGAAAGCTTTCATCTGTGCGAATTTCAGATGTATGAGATTACTTAGATCTTAATTTGCATGATACATACACAATCAAGTAAACATTAATGAAAGTGAGGGAAGATCCATCTTGGGGCATTGAAGGAACCTGTTGGATGCATCAGGCCTCATTAACCAGTAATGAGCTGGTTCCAGCTACATGCCCCAGTGAAGAGAATGATATGACACATGCGGATCACACCATTTCAGACAAATTTATCTGCCGAAACGTCACAAGGCATACAAATATCAGTTGGCCTGACTGAGTAAGAATACCATCCACATATTTACATAGTGATAATACAAAACAAATCTTGTTGGAACGTCTCCTGCTGTAAAGTGTTAAGCGTTATTAGAATTGAGCACTCTGTAAAATAAAAAATATTTCCAAACGGCATATGGATTCCGAATGCATATTGTATTTATTCAATGATACAAAAAAGACAAAGCGAAAAGGGACATTCTACCAGAAATATACGTTTTCACTTAAAAAATGTGACATAAGCTTAATATCCTCAAATAATCATACAAAATAAAGCATAAAATCATACAATTCAATGATCCTAAATCACTGTTAGCTTCTCCTCCATCAAATGATGTCACTTCCAAGTGATAGCCAGTGTTGCCAGATAAAGACGACTTTTTCCAATCCAAAAGCAGTCCAAAACCCACCCAAACACACACACACACAAACGCCCAGAATATTAATATTTTATTTAATTTTAATGTATTTAAATCGAATTAACCTAGTTACTCTAACTGTCATAATTCTTGACCATACAGCAAGGAACACCAGCGGTCAAAGAACCACAACATAACCAGATCAAATCGAAACACTGCCCCCTCACCCACACACTGCACTTAATGTTGTGTAGATTTTACTTTCGAAATGGGGCATAAATTTGTCTCATTTGGCGTTTTAAATTCTTTTAAACATAATTAGTTGGAGTAGGAGCACACAGTTATGTTTTATTAAAAAGGTTGCATATAAAATTAATGTTTCAAAACCGCCTAAACTCAACCTGTGAATGCCACTTTTTACCCACACAATCAAATTTAAACTGCACAATTGGGCAGGAAACCGCCCAATCTGGCAACACTGGTCATAGCCTTATAGGTGCATTGCACGCATTTTATGTTAAATTTAATTCAAATGTGACAGAACTGGCAAAAACAAGGGGAAAATTGTAAAATAGTATTCATTTGTAGAATTTCATGTTTTAAATCAATTGATGTGAATGATAACATCTTAAACTTGCTATTTCTGAAGTTTTTAGCATAACAAAACTATCAAAGCTGTAGCTTCATTGGGCTGAGAACTAAGACAATAACAGGGTTTGTACATTTGTAAAGTGTTTTAATAAAAAAAATCTGAGAACCAAATGAATGACATATTCCTTAAGGAGCCGATCACACCAAACGCACAATTGCGTTCCAAAAACGCGAGGCACACCATGATTTATGATTTGTGAAGTCATACAGCTCTGGATAACCCAAAACAGCAACCACAAGTCTTTCCTTCATCTTCAAATGTCTCTGTTGTTGTCTTGACAACACAAACATTGCAGGCACCTCAACGGAAACCCCGCCTCTACTTTCCTTTGATTAGAGAATAAAAAAAACGCGAGTGATGTAACAAGCTTTTTTTCCGCTTTTTCCGAGTTTACTTTTTTCAACTGAGAGCGCACGGTGTGCAAGGGCAAAAAATGCGCAAGGGCGCATAAGCAGTGCACAAAACACACTTTATTGCTTTGATAAAGTGTATTGTCTTACACTTTAAAATGTTAAATCGCTCCTTAACACAGCACCCTTAGCAGCATCAGTTAAAATACTGACAAGCAGATACGCATTTGGAAATTAAAGTCCCTCACAGTCTCATTATCGCCCCTGTCAAATCAAATATGGCATGTATTATGACTAAAGTCTATTGTTATTGTTGATTAATCATTGAAAACAGTTACCTGCTGAGGAGAAGACCCTTAAGAGACACAATCTCAGCCTTGAGTTCACTGATGCTCTGAGACTCCAGCATGCGGTTGGTGGCAGATGAAGCCTGAAGAGACAAAATTACAAATAAATGATAATCATTCTCTATTTTGAAAACAAATTTCAAAGCACTTTTATTCTTGACTCCTGCGGGTGTTCCACTTGAAACAGCTCCAAGTATTGCTCTTAAAGGGATAGTTTACCTAAAAATGAAAACTGGCTGATAATTCAGTCATCCTCAAGCCATCAAAGATGTACAGTAGGTGAATTGTTTCTCCAGTACATTATTAATGATGATTTTTAGCTGAAACTGTAACATTTCCTGTACAGACCAAACTTTCCACTTCATAAGCCCTGAATGCACCACTGGAGACATTTTGTTTTGCCTGTATGTTTTTTTATTTTATTAAATGTTTTACTTTTACAGTGCCGTTAACCATTGACTTGCACGTGAGAACCACAAATTCAGTTAAAATGTTCTATTATGTCAAACCTATAAACAACTGTTCCACACATCTTATGCTGCGCCACACTAGAATTTGAGCATGCAAGAAACTGTTGTACAGCGCTTAGAAAAAGGGTGGGATTAAACAAAAAACGAGGGATTGGTCCATATTTTAAATTTCTGTACAGAGAGGTCCTGTTTAGATCTTCAATTGGTCTAACCCCCGGTAGCAAAGATATCTGGCCCAGATTTTCCATAGCACAGCACAGCAGGCATTGTTCCGGCAATGGTGTACAGCATGTAGGCCAAACATGGCCTAGATTTGGCAGAGGTAGCACCTTCTGGTTTTTAACCTTCGAGTTAAAACTTAGTATTTGGCCCAGATGTTAAAAATGGTGGGCCACGTAAGTTCGGCCTGTTTTGACTCTTTGACTCATTTTAAACACATTAAAATTATTTTTGACTAAAGAAAAAAAAAATCTACCCATCAAGTCACTTTAAGAAAAAGCATGCCCATAGTGTGCCTAAAGTGCAATTCTTCAAGGGTTTATCAAATTTTTTTTTTTTTTACTGGATATATTGTATGAGAGACTTGCTTTCTTTATCAAATAAAGTGAATCTAATTGGATTTGCATTTTAAACATTAAAAAAAGTTAAATATATCTTTTTTTTTCACAAATTAAGGTTTTAGTTGTGATACTCCCAAAATAATTCTACAGAAATCCACAGATTTTTACCAAAATCTCTGTAAAAATAGCAAAAAACGTCCGCAAATTCCGTCTGGCCCTATAAGTTATTAACTTGGCTGAGACTTGACCCAAATATGGTCCATGTTTTTCCCCTTGTCTGGACGTCAGACTTGGTCCAATCATGTACTGTAATTCACTGCGACATGTCAAACCTGATTATGTGGGCCAGAGAAATTTTGATATGTGGGACGCAATCATGTGATGATCGAACTTTGAAATGCAGCAAACTGCGAAACTTGTTGCACGAGCTTGCGTTTGCATGTTTATGAATGTAAGTCTATGGGGCGAAAAGTGCAGTGTGATCGCAGCTTTGGATGACGGATGAGTAAATTAACACATTTTCATTTTTGGGTGAGCTTTCACTTTAACCCACAGTAAACAATTCTAATTATCTATTAAAATGCTATTACATTAATACTTATTCATTTAGCAGACGCTTTTATCTAAGGCAACTTAGAAGTGAGGACAAAAGAAGCACTTTAAATCATCTGAGAGCAGCAATGCATAAATGCTAAGACAAGTCTAGTTTGTTTATTTATTTACTTGGGTTTATACTTTTTAAGAAAGTGTCTGGTGCATATGGAGGAAAAGAGTGTGCTTGTGACTTACTGTGCATTTTGCTTATCCTCTACTGTCTTTAAAGATCCTAATTTCTAGTTTCTGTTTAATATTTGGTCTTATTGACTAGAACTTGTTATATTAATACTGTATGTAGCAAGTGCCAAGGCTTCACAAATGTTGTCGTTCTGTTAAAGTGTGACTCTCTCATTTGATTTGATTTGAGTTACTGAATGAACAAAATTGTTTGATGCATTCCAGCTGCCAATATGAGACAATAAAAGTCCTCAAAGTCATAATATCAAACTGACGAGTCCCAACTACTGTATCTCCTCCACCCAGAAGGTCAGGATCTTTCAGAAAAGGCAAAGGGAATTAATCATGCCATTTTTACATATTTTTCCATATTGCAGACTGTTGATTTGAGCAGGACTGAGGTGTTTGATAAGCGGTCTCTGGCACAACAATAGCAGTATTCATCAAGTCAGAGAGGTTTTTATTAAAAGAAGCCTTATCACCAACTGCTTGCCATAGGATGAATTGCTGAAGGGAGTGATGGCCAATTGAAGTGGCCAGCAAACATTTGAATAGCAAATGACTTCAAGAAAGGAAAAAAGCCATAAAAATCCATCCATCATTTTTTTCTCCAGAAAAGACAGGTAGTTGTTAATGTCAATTTATATATAAAAATCCTATTCTAGAGAGAAAAAAAAAAAGATTTGTAGATTCCGCTAAACATTTACCAAAGACACTAGCTGTTTCTCAGTATCAAGAATGCAGGGAATTGTATTGGCAATTTAGCTCAGAAGAACCAACTCGGAAGATTGCAAGAATTCAGAACACATCATCCACTGTAAAAAACTGGGGTCTACACAATTCCTTCATGTTGTCCCAACACATATCAATTAAGTTAACTTAATTTGAACATGAAACAATTTAATCGTCCAAAAAACCCTTAAGAACTGTGTTGCTTCAACTCATTTTTAAATAAGTAGTTTGAACAAGCAGCAAAAGCCACATTACAACATTCATACCCTGATCTATTGTTTGTTTGTTTTTTCTTTTCAAAACATATATAAATGTACAAAACATACTTGCACAACATAAACAAAAAAATTTTAATAGAATTTCAGAAAAAAAACCTTTCTATGAGCCCTATCATAACCCTGGCGCAATAAGGCGCAAGATGTGTTTGGCGTGATTTGTTGCTATTTTCAGACCAGTGCAACCCTAAGTTTCCCATTTGGCACCACATTGTTTTAATAACAAATCCATTTGCGCCACTTTGAGGAATCATGGGTGTTCTGGTCTAAAAAGGAGGTGTGTTAAGGTGCATTGTTGGCACGTTGCTATTTTGAGGAACTGAAATAGACTGCGCCACTGACCAACTGAAAGTTAGCTTTAGTTATGTGCCTATGCAGGTCAGTTCACATCAGAACTACATACACACACACATACACACACACACACACACACACACACACATATATATATATATATATAAAAGGATTCAAATGTTACAAAATTATTTTCTACATAAATATAAAAACCACTGCCTCCATGCTTTCTTCATGTCAAGGGGCTTTTTTCAGTTTGTTCATGACAATTTGCATTCATAAAATGTTGTTATTATTATTAGCAGTATTATTTATAATATGTATATTTATATTTGTTTTGATAAAAAACTGTTTTGTCCACCTGTCTGGTTTTGGAGATGTATGCATTACCATGGGGAATAAGAATAGGAAGGGTGTTTAGATAGAATTGTTTTTTGAACACACTTTGTTATTATTGTTACTTTATTCCTTAGCTGGAAATAGTTTTGAAACAAATCCTTATCCACAAAAGCAAACGAGTAAAGTAAAGATTAAAAGTAAAGTAAAGAAAAGTAAAGAGGCCGAATGGATCATTCTCAAAGAGGCCGAATGGATCATCAATGGATGATGATGTTACACTAAAACACAAGGACGCAGGATCCCTTTAAATTGCATATTAAGAAACAGCCACTGTCTGAACCCCCAGCAAACATACCACCTCATCTTCCCCACAGTCCTCTCCATCCACTCACCAACAAGTGGGGAAAGGAAAGCAGAAAGAGGAAGTTAAAAAAAAAAAGACTGGGGGGAAAAGGAAAATAAAAGTGTAATTAAGAACATCGGAGTCACTGGGGGCAGCTAGTTAGAAAGCAGAGACCCCCTATAGAGAGAAGAGGGATAACTCGGACTCTTCCACGTGTAATTAAATCTAAAGTAAATTAATTGAATCACATCTGAAAAGGATCAGACTCATTTACAGCGAGGGACGGCGGTTTTGTCTCCTTTCTGCTCCTAAAGCCCTCAGATAAGTGTGGCGTTTTTCTAAGAGGCCACATCTGATTCCAAGCCGAGCGCATTAGGCCTGGTGAAGACACTCTTATTACAGGCCTCACCTCATTATGGCCATCTTAATCCCACACTCCCCACGGCACCCGCTATAATAAGGCTGGAATGTACCTCTTGCTCATTTTACCTTTGTAAGGGGGAAAAAAAATTAATTGCTTCGGAGGCTTAGCTTACACTTCTCAGACATAAAATCTAAATAATATTTTAACAGAGGCTACAAAGCACCTCTCAGCCGGCGGTGTTTAAACTTCCGCGGTTGCAATTCTTCATTTGGAGAGGCGAACACGAGCGCGCACACACACATTTAGTGATGACCGTTTAATTGCTGCTAAAGGCCTTTCTCTGCATGTCTTTGACTGTGTGAGCAGCCATCCAGTCAGAGGGGTCAGTGCAGTGTGATCGGGGTCCGTCACCCTCTTAAGTGTGAACAAAGCTTCGCTACAGTCTGGGTAATTATTTAAGGAGGTGGAGCGTACCGTACAAGAGAGGTATATTCACGCACTTACACAGAAGCAGACAAGGAATACATTAAAGCAAATGTCTGCAGAACATTAAGAGCGGATAATATCTTAACAAGGCGAGTTAGGAAACGTCTGAATGCAAATTGATTCACTGCTTTCCTCTCTGATGCTATTTCCACCGCATAATGCATGTATATTTATGGTGGAATCAGCATGAAAATAAATCCCAAGGGAGTGTTTTCTAGTGAAAAGAGTGGTACAATTTATTTGAGCCTGTTTATTCACTTTCCCGGTTGCAGTGCCTTCTGCGGTGGAAGGAAAAAAATCGAAGTACTCCTAATCTTCCATGAGCAGCCACTAATAAAGACAGCTATTGCTGAATTTAAGCGATAACACAATTAAACTCGACTTGTCAATGGTTTATGTATGTGGAAAATAAGAAAATATTCAGCTTCACATAAAATAATAACAAA